TAAATTTGAATCCTCAAATCGACGAGCTGGAGACGGCACTAAAGCTTGCTGAACGCAATAGCAGAGATTTTGAAAAACAAAGAGAAAAGCAAAATGCAGCAATGAATGCGCAACTGCAAGAGCTAGAAGAACGTCTGCAAGAGATGCAGGCTGAATGCAAAAGTCTACAAGACACAAAACTTGAAAAACAAACCGAAATTTCAATGTTAGAAAATCAAAATGAGGAACTGATGACGCGTGCAGAACGTGAGTACAAAGCGGCCGCCGATGAACGTGAAGCCTTCCTCAAGGACTATGAAAAAACACTTGAGCGTTCGAATCAGATATTATCGGAGTTTGAGCAATTGATTGAACAACGCGATTTAGAGCTACAGCAAATAGAGGAAGAGGAGAAAAAAGTTAAGTATAAACCAATGAAATAAAAATCAGTTTATTAATGTTCTTATTTTTCTCAATATTAAATACGCAATAATTTATTGCAACACACAAATGCAAGTACACATTAATCATCATATAAATTGCTTGATATATCTAAATATTCTTAATAACTTGCCCAAATACAATATGCTGCGTCTAAATGCTTGACTCTTACGTTGCTGCGATTAGGTGAAAATTTCATTGGGTTCAGAGTTGTGGTCTGCACTGTTGCAATACGCCCATTTAAATTTTTATTTATTTTATTTTAACAAACGTTTTTTTTTTTTGTTTTGTAACTATTGTAAGATTTTGATTTCGCTTACTCAGGCAATCCTTTCCGCTTACGATTGACCATGTACAAATCCATAGTCCGCCGTGACTTCTTGAGTGAAATTATTGATCCATAGCAATAAAGATTTCATTCCTTTTTTTATTTTTTTTTTTGTATTAATATCCATTTTTAATAAGTATGCCACAAGTACATAGAATACATTTTAATGTATCTCTTATGCTTTTCCGGTATTTTTTGTTTTGTTTCAATTATTGCCGCCCAAAGCTTAGAGCAAATGTTCTACTACATATAGTTTCTCTTCTCTTTGAAAGGTCATTGGTTGTTGATTTGTTTATGAAATGTAAATTGCACTTGAAACAGCTACAAAAATTCTTTGTTTAAATATATTTATGTATGTAATATACTAGAAAAGGACGATTTATATTTAGAGTACTATGAAGATATTAGTTGAAATTTTTAAATTTCAAATTAGCTCTAATGTCTTCATTTAAAACTAAAAAAAATCAAACAATAATTTCTACTTAATCGTCGCATACATTCGTAGTCCTTTGCGCTAACGCAATATTAAATCATAGTTTTTATTAAATATTCGCAAAATTATCTTACCCAAAAAGGACTTTGACACAGAGGTGTAATGTTACAACTGAACAAAATGCAAAAGCTATACGTAAACTAAGGATAGTTTTGACGGGTGGCAAACAAAGAAAAAACAGTTTGGGGGTTTTAAAGTAATATAAAGAATTATTCTCATTAGCAGTCATAAATTCATTGAATTACAAAAAATATAAACTTCATTCATGCATAATAAGCAAAATATTGCGCACAAACTATAACAAATAAAGAAACAATTTTTTTTTTTTAACAAATTCACACAATAAACACGTCACCGTTGCCGCGAGGTGCCTCATTTGCAATATCTGTGCCACAAGTGGGTGTTGGCAAAGGTGCAGCTTTGGGTTTATCTAATACGTCAGCTTCGCGTCCAATTTCGACAATACCTTGTTGCCTTTGTTGTGCGCTCATTTGGTCTATCTCACTAACATTTTCTTCAGTCAACTTCACCACCTCATCTTCATCCAATTCTTCGGCGCTGTCAATAGGCTTTTCACTGCCGCTACTACTAGTGTTACTCACAATGTCTGTGGTTTTCTTTTCGCCCTCAATGTGTATGTTTACACGTTCTGGGTCATCAAAATTTTTTTGGAATGTCACGGTGACTTCTTGCTGTTCCTGTTGCTGTGCCATCATGCCGCTTGCTTCTGCATCACCATCCCCACCATCAGCGGCTGTTGTTGCTGTGGCTGTTTGCGTGGGCGCTGTGGTGATGGATGACCACCAGGTTGAGAATGTGCCTTTGGCCTGCGACAGCGCAACACCTACAAATAAATAAATTTATATTTAATAATTAAGGCTATACACGCTTTGTAGCACTCACCAACAACACGGCTGGTAGTATTTACCGCGTGATTTATTTTACGGCCACTTTCGCTATTTTGCATTGTTCTTGAAAAAAAATACGTATATTTAAACAGTACAATTTATAATATGTGAGAAAAAGGCAAAAGGCAAATTTTATATGTGCCACATACTGTGCAATTTTTAGCTTCATATCGGCCACAGAAAGTGTGCCAGCAAAGGGATGGCCGGCTGGCAAGTCGTCGAAAAATTCAGCATCAGGACGCACGTCATACCATTCCTGAAAGCATTGGGTGTGCTTAAATGCCTGCATAAACTGTGCATTGAAGTGTTCGTTGTCCTTGGCAATAACATCTAAAAAGTGTAGGAATGTAAAATTATTGAATGGAAATATCCCCGCTATGTTTAAGCCATACAAACCATTTGCCACAGCGGTACGCAGTAGTGCTAGTATATAACCCTGAAATTGATCGCGTATCCAATGCTCGCTGCCCTCAGCATCTTCTTTTGGCGACTGTACGTGTTTAAGCAGATAATCCATAAAACGCAAATCTTCTGTACTCAACACCAGTTGACGTCGTAGATCTGCGTCAAGTGTGTCTATATTGGCATTCTCTACATCCACCAAAACGTCGGCAAGTTGACGCTTCTGTTGGAATAATACATTCGAAGTGCCTATGACATAGCTTAATACAGACGGGTCACTTAGTAAATCCATATATGGCAACGAGAGATATGGCAAAAAGAGGTTACCACTGGCGAAGATTGTAATGGGTGCGCGATATTCATCTGGATTTATTGAAGCCAAATTGCAGAGTGGGTCTGAAAAGTAAAAGGAAAGAAAAATAAGAAATACTTTTATTTGGTTTAGTTTAAAAATAATTAGAATTTTTTACTTCTCGATATGCTAATGGTTTATCAAAGCAACTATCTATTTGAAGAGAAAGACCCTGCGACTATTGCTAGATTAAAGTCGTTGGTCTGTAGTCATAAAGAAATTAGAAGCAGGTTTTAACTTACTTAAACTTTGTCATAACTAACTTAAAATAAAAGAAGCGCACTCCCTTAAACTCATTTTATGTTTAAAATGAGGAGAATGTGATTTTAAAAATTTACAAACTTGTAGAAAAGCAGAAAAGTTCTCATAGTTAATCTTGAAAAAATTAAAACAAGTACATAATTTGTAAGCAAAAAATAACACCGCCATCAATGCTCATACAAAGATTTGGAAGTGCCGTTAATTTCTTCATGCTCCAATGCTCCGGAACTAAACCAAATTAGTATGGGACCACGACAGTCGAGTCTACATAACAGGAACGACCCACATTTACATAAATCTGGCCAAGGACTGTTACTCCAGCAACAATCTGCTTTTGTCCACAAGTTTCGTTGTAACTACGAGGGTGTTCACACCTCTCTGGTCATCTGGTTAAGTGTACAATTTTTTTTTATTCATTTTACAATAGCATACACTATAATATCGATGGCTGAATGGAAGATCGACCTATCTCGGCAGTCAGTTCGAAAACTCCCTAACTCAGAAAATTTTTCAACAACGCTTTATCTCAGAAAACTTCTCAAAAACGCCCTACTTCAGAATTTGATTTAAAAACGCCCTATCTCAGAATTTGGTTGAAGAACGCCTATGTCAGCTGTCGATCCAAAAACGCCCCACCTCAGCTTATTCTCAATGTATTTTCTTTTGAGATTTCAGTAAATAAAATTCTGAAATAGATCCTTTTTCAATCAAAATTTCAAGTTCAAATTTTGCTGAGATAGGGCGTTTTCGAACTGGCTCGATATGTAATATTTTTTAACCGGCTAACGAGGCAAGTGTTAACACCAACCATAGGTTCTTTACTCAATATAAGTATGTACAAAAGAAAATACATATGTATGTATATTACCCAACTAAATTACTGCATTTAAATGCAATTTATTACATTATACTTTTGGGAGTGTGATATGCAAGTTTATACAAGCACATGTGAAGTTGTGTAAAATTTGCTACTTACATGCCAATGTATCTACACTCCCTTCGCGAGTTAGTGAATCACTGCGCACAAAACGTTTGTTTCCCACTTCTCCAACACCTTCTAATGAGTCCAAACGGTTTAACTCTTTTGTTGACTGCGACGATGTGTTGGTCGAAGCTGAAGCCACAGTCGATGTGTCATCACTAGCCGCTTGGCTCGCTGCCGACATCGCGGACGATACCAAGGTACAATCGTCTACTGCAACACCAATACCATTTTCCACACCGTCTTCACAAACATTTTCGCATATTTTTGAAGTTACTTCCTCTGATTGCACATTTTGTGCCAAAACAGTTATGGGTTGTTCACGTTCTTTCAATTCAGCTGCTTCCTTTTGTATAGAATCTGTAAAGTCGGGCATTGGCGATAGTGGGCGCGACGTACGCACACATGCTACTTCTTGGAAGCCTTTTTCCAACAGACGTGGTATAAGAGAAGCAATGCCTAACAGCAGTACACACATACCTCGTACCGGTGAACCAAAACACACAACACGTCTTTGCAAGAGAAACAATTTAAAAAGTATGAGCATTTTGTGACGCCAGTGCAGGACGATCTCGCGCAGCGATAATCCTACATGAAAATTGCGTAACGGTCGTTGGGTTTCATCGTCCAACAGGCAAGCATTAAGTTGCTGGTATGCCTTTATTAGAAATTCAGTGCATGAGAAGTCACCTTTCTCGAAGAAAGCATCAGCGATTAAAGCGAGTTTCACCTCTATATAGCCGTAGATGGGTAGCCGCGCAAGGATCACAATCGATTTTTGCACTGTACTGCGTGTCATGTCAGCGGTGCGTATAGTCAATTTCTGTAAAAATACATGTCCATACTTATGTATGTAGTTTCATAACTTCCTAATAAGTATTAAAATGTTGATGCAAATATTTACCTCAATCGGTATTTGCCGGTAACAAGAAACGCCATATACGCTCTCCGTAGGCTCAGTCAGACTAGGCAAGTTAAAAAATACCGTATCATCGGCGAAATTATGTGATCCATCGGGCAGCGCTAAAGTGGGCAAATATTTCCAGCCTGATGGACACTCATTCTTGCCAGTTGTGCCCGTTATAAGTGGAGGGTGGGAAAACTCAACCTAGTTTGCGATATAAAATTTTTTATAGATTTCCACAATTTTGTTTGCGTTTTGGAGTTTCTATTTGATATACAATACGTACTTGGCAACCTAATTTATGGTGGAATCCTACCACCAGTATATGAAGAATTGGGGGTTTATTCTCTCCTACATGGGCTAAAGCCATTGCTTGCCTTGCCGCTTATTTGCTGTACTTTCTTTTTTTCTCGGCCTTCAGTGCCACAATTGTGTTCTCTGCAATTGTTGTCACCACCAACGATTCGCTGGCTAATTGGTTTTTACCATTTTACATGAAACAAATAACTACTGTTTTTTGTATTTACTTAGATGATTAAATATGAATTTCGATACTTTTCAAAGTAAGAGCTAAGTATGTATTTTCTTATCGCTGTTATAAATTTTGCATACAATTTTGCAGTGGTACGTACAATGATTTTTTCGCGAATTGTTTGTTGCAACGCCACCAGCAGTTGTCACTTTTATTGTGAACAATCCAAAATTTTATTTGTGACCGGCAGTAAATTTTCTGTGGTACTAAAGGTCTGATTATGCATCCTTAGCATAACTTCGCACAACCATTTGTACCAGTGCAATAGAAATGTAACTTAAGAAAATGTGAAGCAAAATCTAAATGCGACAGATCGCTAGGTTTTTAAAAGTTCTGCTAATTTGTGGGTAATGGAATAGATACAAAATATATACAGAGTACATACGAAATTACAGTTTGAAGTTTATGTGAAGTTGTGCGAAGTTATGCGAAGTATGCATAATTAGACCATAACCAAGTATTAAAAAGGAGCTGCGTCTGGCTGCATGTGCCAGCATATTTTAGGATACCAGCAAAGGGTTAATTGTGCAGTAGGAAATGAACTTAAAAAGATAGCACACTTTTAGGCGCTAACAAAAACCAGCCCCAACAGTCGTTTCTACGTAATAGGAACGACCCAGATTTATATCTGGCCAAGCACTGTCACTCCAGCAACACTCCCCGACAACTCTTTGGGGATTTTGTATGCTGATACAACAACAACAACACCACCACAAGTATTGGAGTACCTGGATTTAGAATTATAATTTCTTAAGCTAAAATTAGTCGAGAACGCAGAACGTATACTTAAACGTAGTCTGTTTACGCAAAATTTTGTCGATTACTGGAGCCCTCAGTGTTGCTTACTACAGTGTTGCCACTCTTAAATGCCTTTTCATAAACTTACCCTTTCAACCACAATTTTTCGTGCTATAATAAAACTATAAACTACTTAGTTTTCAACAAAAACCTTATTTAATAGTAAATTTCAAATATTTTAAACATATTTCGAATAGGAACTTATAACTTTTTTGCCATCTGCAAAACTGACGAAGTGGCAACCATCTAAAGAAGGAGAAATCAGCTGACACGGAAAAATCTAAATTCCGCAGATTTCTGCGCTACGGGCTACAACTACAGAAAAATTCTGCGGTGTTGAGTTTTCATTTACATGGCGCTTTGGTAAGACAGATCGTGTCAGCTGACTCGGGTTTACGTACCGGTAGGTTTACGTTCTTGACTAATTTCAGCTTAAGAAAGGAAAATGAAGCGCAGCAATTACTAACTCGCGAAGGAAGTGAGTAATTGGCATGTGAAGTAGGAAATTTTATGTAAATGCTGCCCATCCAAACAAGATAATGCAATAAATTGCTGATTTATTTTGGAACGAATTTCCGTCATCCCTTGTCAAGTTTGGTTTGCAGACAAACCGGTTTCGGCGTTGTGCCATCTTCAGATTCATTTTTCGTTCTGTCCGTCAACCAACACCAACAGGCAATAAATTGCATTTAAATGCATTAGCAAGGCGAATATATACAAGGTGGAAGCGGCAGACCAAAAACAAAAACTACACTAATTCGTTCTGGACGGAGAATCGTTCCACATTACATCAATTATCAAATCGCTTAATGTGGTCCAAAGTTATGCGGTAACATACATAAAAAAATATTCAGATGAATTGATAACCTCCTCCTTATTTTGAAGTCGGTTAAAAACAGAAAAATTTATAAGGTAAATTGTTATAAATTTTTAATAGCTATATTTTAACATTTCTATTAAAATTTACATTAAAAAAATTAAATTTAAATTAAAAATCTCAGCGCCTCCTAAATTATGCTTTGCGTACGCCCATGAAACCAGATGTGGCTGTCCTTGCGAGGTACATATATTAGGGTGGTATTTATAATCCGATTTGGTTCATATTTAGAACGTATGTTAACTACATGAAAAGAAATAACTCCACTAAAAATCTTGCCGTTAGGTGGCGCACGAGTCGGTTTATTTATGCGCCGATTTCGTTCATATTTATAAAGCTTGTTTTAAAAATATTTTTTTATTTATAAGAATTATGTTCAACAAGTTTATTAAGCTTGAGGCCGTGTTTTTATGAAAAAGGGTGTGGAAAAAACAACAATAATTTTGTTAATATTCTATTTTTAGAATGTTTAACTTTAAGATCTGCTCGTCCTCTTACTCATTTATTTGTTTGTTGTTTTTGGCCTTTATAACAATTATATTCAATAATTTTATTGAGCTTGAGGCCGTGAAATTACTTAATACATACTTTGTTCCAATCAGCTACTGGTAATCGATACATCTATGCAGTTTTTATACACCGTAGAAGAAAGGGTTGCAGTTGTTTAAACATTTGTCTTCGTTAAAAATTCTTAAATACTTCAAAAACGAATCTCTTGTCATTTCTTCGATAAGGAATGATGGAAGAGAGTGGTCTTCGACCCGATAACTTGGCTACTATCTAGCACAACGGTGCCTTAGTTAACCAATGTAGTACTATTCTACCTTCGTTGTGAATTCGAAATCCATTCTCGAACAAAATTTGTATCAAAGAGATTTATATTTACGCTTGTTGCAAGTTTATTTCACAAATTCCTTTAGAAATGCTTGTTTAATCAGATTTCAACTGTTAAAAGCAGTGTATATTCAATTTACAATTAGGAGGAGGTCATAAAAGCAAAACAATCTGATTTTTTGTTTACTTTTCGCGTTTCCCTTAAATACACTTGGAAGTACAAGTATGATAGATACTTTTTTGCAAATATGAGTACTGGCATCGATTCTTCTTTAAAGTATTCTAATTTGAGTACTAGTATCGATACTTTCCGCTATGGCCAATCTAATCCTACATCTTTGCCCTTTTTTCAGTGAAAGTGCCTGTGTCAATTAGAAAAGTTCTATAGTGAAAAAAACACATTCTACCTTGGTGAGAAAATTTTACATTTCTGCTGTGCCAATACGTTATTTTTTACTTCTAACTGCCGCGTTATATAAACAAGAACCGCAAAAGCCGTCACCAAAAAAAAATCTCAAAAATCAAGGAGATTTTTTAGCTGGTTGAAACTTGTACTTCATTAGACTTATGGTGATTTCGTTTCTACCAAAAAATGTCGCCATTTGATTGCCCTTTTCTCTTTTGGTGTTTCTTTCTTACGGGTTTTTGCACTTTTTTCGCAACAAAATTAAAAAAAATGCACGCCCGTTTTTTGTAAAATGCACTTGTTATATAAAAAAAAAAAAACGCAAAAGCAGTTACCAAAAAAAGTTTCAAAACTCCAGGGGAATTTTTCAGCCGGTTGAAACTTGCTCATCATTAGACTAAAATTGAATAGGCTATAAAAGTGCATACTCAAAAAAGGTTCAGATTAATAAGTTCGAAATTTTGATGAAAATTTGTTGAATTTTCCTAAATTTTGTATAAATTTCGAGACTTTGATTTTGGTAAAACTTGGACAATAGAAAAAAAAAAACTTGAAAAACATTGTGAATATTAAAAAAAATCAAGACATGAACACTTATTTGCGTCACTGTATATAAAAAATATTTGCCTTTATTAGACATCTTAGCAATAATATTAGAACAAAAAAAGGAACAGTCCAGCGCCTTCGTCTTGGTTTTGGCTATATTTAAACGTAGAATACGTGGTATGGTTAAGAGCATATCCAAGTCAAAAACGAAATCACACACTAAGAAAAACCAACAAAATATCGATTATATCGATAAGTCCCGAGAATCCCTAAAATCCCGAAATAGTTCCGAGATTGAGTCTCTGTGCCTTTATCTATATCCTTTTCTCTACAACTACCTTTATTTTAATCTTTCTTCCTCTATCTTCATCTATACTTTTATCGGTATCCTCATCCGCATCTTTTTCTTTATATTTATCTTTGTTTTTATTTTTATGTTTATCATATTCTTCATATACATATTCCCCTTCACCTTTGCACTTATACATATAAGTAAAGTGTTTAAATTTACCTTGGTCTTCATGTTTGCCTTTATCTTTACTCAACTTTGTTTTTGTGTTTATTTTTACCTTGGCCTTTATCCTTTTCTTTATCTATGTACGTCCTCACCTTTACTTTTATTCTTGGATTGGACTTTTTCTAAATGTTGTTTCACTTCGAAAAGTCTTCGCGTATTATGCATACATGTGTTCATATATGTATGTACATATATAATATGTATGTACATATGTATGTATAGACATACATAGATTACTAAAAATAGAAACAGACCCACATTAACTGCAATCAACATATGTACGTATGTATGTATTTACATATGTACACACGCTGCGATTAGGTTATAAATAGCGCGCCTCTGTTTATCAAAAGCCGCATTACATACGCATACATACTTTTTGTCTCCTTCCCACACTTTCAACATATGCACGTGTTTGCAAAATGATGACGAGGGGATTTTGTATGGAAAATCATTTATGCCCATATATTTGAATAAAATAAACATATATAGAAGATATCAACCAATACTTCCCATATACCAAACGAAAGGAAAACTCTTGAATTTTTGATTAAAGAAAACAAAAACAACATCATTCGAGCGGTTTTCGAGCATTTTGGTAATGAAAAAAATTTGCAAATTTTTTCAACAATTTTTTGCCTTAAAATGCTCAATATTTGTTAAATTTATATAAAATTTGTACCCGATAATATTTCTACTGCTCCAAAGAACCTATATCCCGAAAATGAAAGTTATATATGCCAACACTAGTGCTAGAGCACTTTAAAGGCTCAAAATTGACCCCAAAATAAGGCAATGTTTACCGTTGTTTTTACGACAGAAACCGAATTGGTTATTTACAAAAATGAATCTGTCGACAGGTTTGGAATTTTATCTTTGAAACGCCACACTTTTCTTTGAAATCGCTTTATTAGTTCTCGTGCAATAAGGGTTTTTGTGAAGCTCTAAAAATTACAACTACAACATTTGAACATAGCCCCCCATACCTTAAGGTAAGACGTATTCTACGTCAAAAACACTTCAAAGTCGTCAGGTAGGTATGATTCTTGCTGTAAGTTTTTTTATTCACCTCATAGCTGTCAAAAATTTGCAAACCATAATAGGTACTTTGCTACCAATTGGCACATACCCAAATAAGTAGTTTGTAATTATTCATTTAAAATATATTTTTTTATTTTAATATCTATT